ATTTCATTTATTTTAATAAAACGAACTTTTTTTTGTATTCGTTGCATTAAATCTCCTTTATTCCTTATCGATTTTAACTTTATTTTCTTTACCTTCCTCTTCTCTAAATTTTCAAGGCTAATTGATAATCGTTATTTAACTTTCAACGTTATTATTTTTTTACAACTTACGGCATAAATTTTAGTTCTATCATTAAAGTTTATATTTGTTGATCAAGGTACTGTTGCTTAGGTAATTCAATACAGTTAATATTGATTTGTGACATGCTAGAGGTCAAAGGTGCAAGAAAACAGTTTTGGACTATTTTTTGAACTATTTATCGTAGCCATGAATCTAGCACCGGGGACTTTAAATCTAGACTTGAGCAACTTACTTAAAAATACCAATGCCATATCGAATGCAAATGGTCAGGTGCGACATGACTCTTCACCTCGTGACAAATCCACCCCGATGCGCTACTCAGTGCCATCGGAACATGTCTCACTAGGGCAGATATTAACCACACAGCCCCACCCCAAATTACACCTAGACATACGGCATTCGGATCTAGACTCACAACAACTTTCTGAGGATAATCTAAAAAAATTTTACGGAGTTGACGTGAACCAATGCACGGATGTTTCAACACTGCAACACTTATTGGTTGTTGGTTTCCGAAATTTTATATACACTACACAATGGTACGAGGCTACGTTGCGTGAACGCAACAAAACGTTCACTCATCGATTAGGTGACCTTAAAAAATATATACGCAGTACCGCTCTCCAAGAAGCTCCTCAAACGGTGGTTCCAGCGACTCGGCGTATGCGGTCAGGTAGCATATCAACTGAAACCCCACGCCCCACGACTGATATGAATGGTGGCGTTAAGCATAAGAATGTGGCAGGGAGGGAGTTAAAACACCCTTCGCTTCACACCGATCGTGGTATGTATATGCATCCACATGCACAAAATCATCAGAATAGATTGAATGTGACAGAACTTCGAGAGAATACACCAGATGTTGTTGTATCTCGTCATAGTTTGTCTCGCCCTGTGATGCTGAAGAAACCTCACTCTGCGAGCTCAACAGTTTCCCAGAAGAGTTTAGGGAACCGACCAAGTACCCCTGCACCTGTTTGCAGCGGCCGTAAAACATCCCTTTGGCACTCACAGCATCATTCACAAGTTTTACTAACTCCCTCCTCAGCACGGTCTCGTCAACTCGCAAGGTATAAGGACTCTGGTGGAAATACGAATAAGGGTGATAACGTTATTCGTTCCACACAGTGTCGGCCATATATCTCTTCATGTAAGATTTCTGCTTTGATGACTGCAAAGCGTCCCAAATTAGTAGAAGCCGAGAGCTGCTCAGATATGCAACGTCAACTAGCAGGGGCTGATTCTTCGACAGAAAAGTCACACATGTACCGTATCCATCCGTGCCGTCAACCGGATTAGGAAGAGCTGAGTTTAAAGGGAAATCCGCGTCTTGAGTTAGAAGTTGCGCGCATTGATATAGAAATAGAATAATTGATTTCTTGAAGACTTTGTCATCTAAATTGGTATTTGATGTGCTTTATCAAGCTTTTACTCCTAAAATTTACCTTTTTAAGGTTAACAAAGACACGTTTAGCGTCACTCATCTAATCCACTCTACTGGCCTGATTTATAGCTTATTGCTCTTCGAGGGAAGGAGTCCAAGTTTGGAGCGAGGTCATGACAAAAAGTGAATAAATAGGGAAACACAAATGGTTTTGAAGAAAAATGCAGCAAATCTGTGATAATTAAATTTTTCATCTTATGCAATAAATGTTTTTCCTCGTTTTTAAATTTCATCTTTTATTGTTTGAACCATTTGTGCAGGGCTATATCTAACTATTTACTGCTTGAATTTTATGACTTTTGTTATATAAATATGTTCCTTGCGTGAATATATTTATTGAGACTTGTTTCTTATTGGCAGTATTTAAAGACTTAAAAAAGACATTAGAGAACATGGTGCCTTTTTTTTTCAGGCAAATTCTAGCAATTAATTCCAATGCACGAGTGGAGATTGCTGTCGTTTTTAAACCCTATGTTGTTATCGGTGAGAATATTTCTGTTCACTTATTTTCACGTTACATTTATCATAAATTATCCGCAAGAAAATCAACAAAATATTTTGTGTTTACGTAAATTTTAACGATTATGTTTAGAATATTCTGTTGTTTTGGGGTCTTCCTCCTTGCTTTACATTTTCCCGCTGTGGTGTGATGTTTGTGAGGGGAAGTACACTGATGATAAAGCCTGGCTGTACAATTTAAGGTTATGCTAACACTATCAAAAATAGGACATCCACGCAAACTTCGAAAACAACCAATTTTTGTGTTCTTTTCCACTATCAAAGCTTCCTTCCATTCCTTAGGAGAAAGGGATATAAACCAAAAGCTTCTATTTCTCCACAATGCGTACGTATAATTGGCCAAAATCTCAAGACAATGCGAGCGTGCACAATGGTTCTCCTGTAGGGCAAAATCCTTCCAGACGTGACCGATCTTTTTCCCCGATATCAACGGTTAAGAATATTCTCAAAGGTGTTGAAAGCCATGTGAGGGTGATGTCTTCTCTGGAAAATGTATCAACATCGTCTAGCTACACCGCGTTGCGTTTGCGTCATCCTGTGAATCACACCGCCAAACTTCCAGGCGATACTCCAACACGACCAACAAGTCCTGAAAGGGATGCGTCTTCGTCCTGGTCGCGGCCCTTCAACGTATCTCGAGTTCACCGAGATTCTACCACCGCAGCGTTCTACGACGATGTCATCGCCCCCTGCATCTCGAACTGCTGCTCTGGTCAATGCTACCTGTTCATCGTTTCCGGCCCCCAGGAGAGCGGCCGCAGCCAGACTATGTACGGTAGTCCACACCGCCGCGAAAAAGGCCTTGTAGAGCTTTCGGCATTGGACTTTTTAGCACGTATTTCTGCTTCTGAACGGACTGTTCTCCAGTCTCAGCAACAGCAGGAGCCAGTGATAAACAAAGGCAATTTGAAGGGCGGACGAAAAAATAACGCGGCGGAAAACAAGGAAAACTTAACCGCGGAACTCACTCCCCAGGATCTCAACACGCGCTCTGAATATCCCAGTGGGGGACTTATGGTAACCTACTCAGCCTTCACAACCCGTGGGCCAAACATGGTGGACTTAATTACAGGGGAACCCGTCCCGATACATGAGTTTCCACCACCCCTCGGCTCCGTTCCGCTTCCCTACATGCGCCTTCTCGAGCCATCGCGTCGAGTTGACCCTGCCGATCCGAGCCGGAAAGAGTACGACATCGCGGATGCGGCTGCGCGGGTGGTGGTCATCCCGGAGCGCAAGCATATTGAGACTTCGTGTATTATTCAATTTCAAGTATACGCCCCGGTGGACGGCAGCGGTAGGCGATCCATGTCCACGTTGACCTTTGTCGACATGGCCGCCTTCCGCACGCCGCTGTGCGCGGAGGTGGCTCACGTCGTGGAGACGATCCACCGCGTGGCTGGGCTCTCCGACGATGGCGACCCTGACTTTAAGCGCCACAAACTCACGACGCTGCTGGAGCCTGCCCTGGTGGGCTACGTCACGCTGGTTTCCATTAGCACTATTTGTGGACGCCCGGACTTGTACGAATCGACCTGTGCGGCCTTGCAGTTCGCAAGCGATATCACGCGCATCCATCAGGTCTTAATGCTGCTCCATTCGCAGACCCCGCGCTGGCTGTTCGACACCGGAGTGAATTTAGAGCGACTTCGACAGCAACGGGAGGAGATGATGCGCGCACATTATGCGCGTGGGGTAAGTGACTTTTATCGTACGGTCTCGAATTGGCTTCTCAAGAATATGAGTAACGTTGGAAAGACACTCGAGGGTATTTTAGCGGAAACTGGGGTGATTCGAAAGCAAATCTCAGCTGAGGTGGAATCCCAAACTAGAGAACTTGATAGCCGAATTCAACAGGAGGAGACAACATCAAAACAGGAGATGGATGCCGCCCGTGATGCATACAATGCAACTTCAGAGCGATTTGGTGAGGTTCAACGATTAGATGAGGCGATCACTCGACTAGAGCAAGAAATATCACACATAGATTTAAAAAATGGTCACCGTATTGGAGAAATGCGCATCGAAATATCATCTTTGGAGGCCAATAATAATAATCTTCGGCTTGAGGTTCAGCGAATGGAGAAAGAGAAAAACCTGTATCACGATAAGTGGACTGAGGTATGTTCCATGCTTGACAAATATGCGGAAGATTTTAACTATGATATGAAGATCTACACCTCCGCACTCCTTCTCGAGAAGATTGGTAAAAAACGTAAGAGATTGGAGGAAGATTTAGAACTGGCTTCACAAGTAGCTCATCGACACACCGATCACCTTCGAGCGGATCGACAACGACGCTCTCGGCTTTCGCGTATGATGGTGATGCAGCAGCGACTTGAGTCACTTCGTGAAGCAGTGCAGACAGTCTCTGTGGACTCCCCGTGAAGCGGACTAGCTTCCCGAAATAAATTCCGGTAGGTACAAGATGTATGTGCGTAGGAAAAAAGGTCTTCACTCACAAAATTTCCAGGTATAACATTATGTAGATTCAAAATTCCCATTAGAAAGAGCCGTAAATCAATGTGAGATAATATCAAGTATTGCATGGCATTGTTCAGTCGTTTAGTAACAATCATTATTGTTTTAAAGAATTTCCATGAAATGAATTATGCAAGAAAGAAAGGGGAGCCTTTACATTTTTTTCTTCATTGATAATGGCTACATCAATTGATGATTCAGAATAGGTTTTTTGCTTTAGATTCAATTAGATTCTTGTACTTGTTGTTGTTTTTAATTTAACCTCCGAAAAAAAAAGAGTACTAAATAGGAGGTTGCTTTCCATTTTCTCTACTATTTTTACTAGCATCTTTTTCTCCTATGCTTTGGAGCAACTAATGCTTGGTAAAAAGCGTTTTCCTTGTACCCTTTTGATATCTTAGATATTATTATTACTATCATTCTTAGGAATGTGTGGGTTTAAAATTAAAAGAATAATAAAAGAATGAAGATCTTTTGCAGGATTCTATTGTCATTTTCCTGTGTACAGGCCACAATTCAATGTTTTCCACCTGAATGACTATTTTGGTATTTTTCTCTGATATGCTTACTGAGCAGACAGAATTTTCCACTTTATTTTCACGTAAAACCTTGCACTTTCAGTGTTATTCTTTACCACATTTAAATTTATGTGAGTATAGGGGGGAGGAAGAAAGGAATATTTTACATTTGAAAAATAGAACTAATGCTGAGTGTTTCTATGCCTGCTCATGTAGCCCCATCAAACAATGCATGGAAACACACATCGTTGCCAGTATGTCTAGACACGGGAGCAACACCAAGCGGTGCATTCATTCGTTCAGCCCGACCTTCCATCTCTGAGGGGACTGTGGATGGTCTTAACAGTTCAAGGCACGGGTTTCCTTCCAGCGTGCAGAAGGAGCATTCTGCTTCAGGTCTAATACAACCAAACTCCAACTTTCCGAGTCAATCTCTAAAGGGTCTTGACTCCAGGAATTCGGAAGTGTTTTCTGCACAAAATGCACTGCAGTCCGATAAAACTGATGGTGATTTATCCAGCACTCCAAATGCAGTTCAAGTACAGCACGAAGATATTCAGGGCCAACAGGCTCAATCTGTGGAGGCTGGTGACCTTGTGCACGATATATTAGCAATAAACACGTTGGCTATGCAACAAGGTAAAGGTGGTATGTTAGATGAAGCCATGGAATTACTTGGCGGAGCTTATAGTAAGCTCAACACGAACGAACATCTGCTGAACGATGCTCGGTTGCTGGACCAGCTTCGCGCGATGACGCTGAACAATATGGGAGTCATGGAATGCCATCGAAGCCAGCCACGCCACGCTCTCAGCCATTTTGAAGCGGCAAGGCAACTCGAGGAAAATCATGACATCGCCTCGCCATCCGTCGCGCTCAACTCATGTGCGGCCTATAACGCTCTTGGAAGCTACGAAAAGTCTACCGCGGCGGCGCTCGAGGCGATTGATATGCTACGAACGTTGGAGGCGCAGCGTCAGCTGGCTAGAAAAATTGCTCGCAAGAAGGAACGGCAGCTACAGATATTGCAGCAGGAGGGTAGAGGCACCCCGATTGACGTTCTGCACTCGGGCACTCCCATTCCTGTCCATAGTCTCCTAAAGAAATCTGGAAAAGGTGAAAAAGATGACATCGGTGAGATGCTATTGGAGGATGTTGGGCAGCTCACTATCGCTGACTCCGATAATAAGACATTATGGGGTGCTGCATGGCATAATCTTGCGGTGGCACAGCTCAATACCACACGCAATGCCGTACGAAGGCAAGACATTAAAAGTGAACGTTCCAACACCTTAATGATCTTTCGAAACGCCATGAAAGCTACACAAGACTTTCTGGGGATAGACCATCCTATGACAAAGGCCGTCATAAAAACCTATCGTGCCGTGCGCGTCGCACTTCGCAATGGTGGCGTGTTTAAGCAGCATCATACGTTGCTCACAGCACCACCGCAGCCAATAGATCCTCGTGAACAAGAGCTAGAAGAGCTGTTGGTGGAGCCAAAGCCCGGACACACACGACACGGCACGATGGAGCTGAATAAAAAGGATCTGACCATTACTTTTCGCGGCGATACCACTAACTGGGCAAAGTTTGTAGAACGGCTGGATCCCTTACCTTACCCTGGCGCTAAAGAAGAGGTTTATCACTCCAATAGACGTAATTACTTGCAGCAATACCGTACGAAGGCTGACGGTAAGATAAACAGCTGTGCGCTCACCAATATTTCCCTTAGTAGGACACTCATAAAAGCTAGCCAGGTGTATAGTAATCCCCATCCACTCCTCTATACCCCCTCACCCCCTTTCACCGTGTTAGACGCGGCTCGCAACACGGGGGATGGAAGAATTCAGATCAATCAAACTTTAAGTTCGTATCACAAAGCCAATAAAGGGAGATCAACCGCTATACGACAACCTTGCTTATCGAGGCAAGGTCATGATGTCAGCGATATGGCTGTGTTGCTTCACTCAAATTCTGAGTATGGTGCCGATCACAAGCGTATGTCGCCATTAAGTAATTTCCATTCAACAAAGGTTGCAGGTGAGGCGAGTGTTCCGAGTCGAAAAGCTGCCATGGGTCGCAACTTTGAGTTGCCCCCCAAAGGGTTAGCAGTATCATCACAGGGAGTGGTACCTCAATCATCTTTCAAACACGAATCGCCTCATTTTGCCAAGTCCGCGTTTCCGGCCGTTCTGAATCAATCCAAATGCATCATGATGGCACTCCCGTCTCTCACCAATGCCGACGCCGGTTCCGATACCATCAGCAAGACCGTTTATTATACCATGCCTACTGAAATTCCAGGAAATACGCGCGCGTCGGCGGTCAATCCGGTAAAAGAGGATGAGGTACTCTTTCCTCCAACACAGCGGACGCAGACTACAGGACGCGACCAACACCCGGTGGCACCTGACGAAAAAGCCAAGTCAGTTCACCACAAAGGGGTCGCCAAAATGCCCCAGTCTCGAAAAAATGCGCCTCACGCCGGTGAAGCGGATCTCGCTTTGCAAGCGGGCACGCCTTCGGTGGGGCTCCTTCCAGCTGACCCGGCGGCAGGTTCCTCATTACCGTTGGTTTCCAGAGCGGAGCCTCCCCGTGAGGAAAACGAAACGGGCGAGTTGTTCGATACCATGTGGGTCACTACCTCCCCGGCGCCCGTCGACGCGGCGGCAGGTGTCACTGGTAAGCTTCAATTGTTCACCGACGCCATCGACGCGCTTTGGTTCGACTCAAATGGTTTAACCCACGGTAATCGCACATTTTCTTGTCCGGAATACTTCCTGCCCGATTCGAGCAAGGAAAAGCAGTCTCAAGAACGGGAATCATCAAAGAACGGTCGGGATTGCGGCTTCTTTCATGATAAACACGCAGACCACTCTACAGGGGAGAATCTTGGGGAAGTTAAACAGCGCTATGGAGACGGCATGCTACCAATGGCTCTTAAGACGGACAGCAGTAGCACTACCCATGAAGTTACTTCTTCGAAATCAGACGAAAGCAAAAGTTGGTCCGCTAATATTGACTGAAATGTTAATTGGTCAATTAAAATGAATACTATCAAATCCTATAAGTATCAGGGGGCAGGCAGTGCTGTTAGAAGATGTAACCTATGAACTGCTCAATCCTATTCACCACCCCAACGAAGATTATCTAGAATGCGAAAAAAAAGGAAGAAGAATAAGCATCAATAGCTTTAGTCCTTGATTTGAGAACCTTTTAGTTTTACTTGATAGGTCAATTAACTTTAACCTCAAGATTTACCGGTGATAATGGTATTATTCTTTTTTATTATTTTTAAAGGACAAATCAACAAATTACGGAGATGCTCATGCAATATATTTATATATTATGTTGTTTGCCTTTTCAATTTCGATGTATTTTGCACTATACTTTTTAGGATTGTTTTGAAGTTTTCGTACTTAGAATAGATTTACTTCTCATTGTGCTTCACTCTAAATACGGCGTAATTAAAAAGTCACTTTTCGCTCATGTAATTCTACCGCCTCATGTTTATAACGCTGTCTAAAAATGCATTGTTTAATGTAAGGAAGTGAATAGAAACTGATAGGAAACGCTTGAGATTACTTCTTTCTGTATTAAAGAAATGCCCCACCCAATGCTTCTATTTTTTCTTATTGTAGGCCCTTCTGTAGAATAGATGAAAAACACATTTAAAGAACCAAGACAACGCTGAAAATATTTTAGCTTGCGCTCTTTTTTATTCTAAAACATTTACTTTACGGAATTCATTATTCAATTAATTGTGTCCACCTGAGAGTTTTCATCAAACAGTAAATGAATATTTTAAAAAGGAGTGAACCCTTTTTCAAATAAATCCGCGTCGATGTGTTAGGGGTCACGCCTAACATATTATCTCTCCTCTTCTTTGTGGCAAATTATCTATTAAAATTTTGAGGCTGGATGTTTTTCCCGCCCCCACATCGAATAAAACAAAAAGTGGATCAGGCATATTTTTGCGGTATGCATGGCACGCTTTTTTCACAAATGGGGTTTTGCATGTTGATCAATCAATTTCCATGCATTTGCAAGTGTCCCGCTTGTTTTAGCTTTCTCTGGAGTTTTACACAATTCTGACAGTTATGTTGAGCTGTATTTTTCTGGATAGTTTTTTCCCTCCACGTATAGGAAGCATGATTAAGATCATATGTGATTGATTGAAGAAGGAACTCTTGCGAAGAATTTTTTATTCTAATATCTCCAAGTTGCACCAGTTTCTTTTGGGGGTTTCTTTTATATTTTTAATTGTAGTACAGTTATTTTAAGGTCTCTATACGTCAAATATTATCTATAATTTCAGAAGATATTTCTTCGTAGGGATCATCTAAAAACTACAAACTGAACTATTTCCGAAAATCAATAGATAATAAGGATGTTTCGTCGTGCTTCCTACCTGCTGAACTTCACAAGGGTCATTTCGAAAACTTCATATGTTTCTATATTTCCAATTCATCTAGACCCACCTACATTGCAACATCGTGAGATTTTTAAGTTGCTTCTTGGCATGCATGAGGAGCCACTAAATGAACCGAACATTTCTAAAACTTCCTTATCCTCATCCAATGAAGCGCTTGTCAGATTAGACGATACGCTAAAGACAGCATCCGAAGTCAATTTACCCTCTGCTGATTCAATTTCCCATTCCCCTTCGCTGCATTCCTGTTCTGCAAATGCTAAGATGAATGACCCTTCGCAACGGCGACAGCAGCGACATCGACGCCCGTCCTCCCCCCTCATGGAGCCCAAGTATGCGTATATGGAACCCTTCGCGAGGAGCATACGCAATCACAGTCAGTTAGCCCCCTTTGAGAACCTCATTTTAGTCCCCAACACGCGCTACCCTATTAGTCTTGCGCAGTCTACGAACCTTGCGGCCCTGACGGTCCTGGCCGTCCGCGGCCTCCCTCGTGTTCATGTCGACTTTACCGCCCTAGAGCATCCGGACGCAGGGATGCCGATTATTTACGACCTCACGCAGCGCTACCCCAATTGTGTGCTCGTGCATTGGCTGCACGACGCGTACGAGATGCAGCGCTGGAATAACTTCAGCAGTATCAAGCTCAAGGTACCGCTAATGTTGCTTAATACTATTAGTTTGCCGGTGTCGATGTCTGTAAAACCATCGTATTTGGTGTCCAACGACTATGATCGCCGCGATTGGATGGAGCGCTGTTTTAACCCTAAAGGGGACGCACGGGGGAGGCAAGTTCGAGACCCCAACACGTGGCCTCCCGACGAAAGTTCTACCATAGGTCAGGATCCTAAAGAAGCATGCGCATATAATGATATTGGAAAAACAAAACAGCTGCTTAAAGAAAACAGCACCCTATCCAGCAACTTGAAGAATTCTAAAGACATCGTAGGGAAAGATATTGAAAGAATTCGGACCACGACAAATAAAAACTCTACAAACCGAGGAGAGTGGTGGCTAACTAAAAGCAACTGCAACGACGATAATATCGAAGTGAGCAAATCGTATTATAACTCTGGGAGCTTTTCGTGGCTTGGGGTTACTCACCATATGAACTCGATGGTCGGTTGGGATAATATTGATATGGTAAACATCGATCCCCATTACTACACATATGGCCCGTATAGTTGTGAACACGGCATTCTCAAATCGGCAACGAATTCTTCGCATCTGAAGAGTCATAAAGGTCCGAATATACGTGATAATAGGGAAATTAACTCTGTCGTAGGACGAAAGGACATTCTTATCTCATCGGACGGATTTGTTAAAATTGTCGACGAGGATTTCAAAATAAACAATAGAGGTGCTTCACACGCGGCTGTTTCTACCAGTAAAGACACAGTTGAGGAAAACACTACCGATAACCGAGAAGAGAACCTCGGTGCAAGTGTTTGGGATTTGATTCTTCTCAAAATACCTTCTTCATCTTTAACTTCTTCAACACCAACGTTTTCAGCACTGAAAGAGCTGGAGCAGGTAAAGCGTGGGCTTAGAGACATACTCTCTGCTTTAGTGCTTTCATCTTCGCCAGAAAAATTTCAACTTTTTGAGGAATCGAATGTAACTAAAATGCGTGGTATACTGAAATACCAAAATGCGTCCAGTACAGCAAATGAAGGGGCTCAACTCATGGAAACCAATGGATGGGATGCACTTGGAGATAACAAGAGCAGTGAACATCATGAAAGACCAGAGCAGTTGCGTCTTGTCCCCTTTCAGAATGCACAGCGTAATGTGCGCGAACTGTTGGAGGATATATACCAACCATTGAACTATCACCAGAGTTATAACCATGCCATGGTCACGTCTCCCACTGGCCCTTGCACGCAACCGCAGCAGCCGGTAGGTTCACGGAAAAGTGATACTCATCCATGCGACGGCAATTCCGCAGCGAAAGGGAATCTATTTACTGATTTCGAAACGAGTGAATCAACGCAGATGGACCATTCACGGGTATCTGAGGAGGAGTTCGCAGGGGGCCCAATTGACCCAAGTAGCGCCAACCGCATTATATGTGGTCATGATACCCTTTCATCCACGGTCGTATCGCAGAGGTTACCCGTGGTTGAAGTGCACTCAGTCATCCGCACCACTGGGGCTGATGTCCGTCAATCGTTATGGGGGCAAGAAATTAATCCCATTCATATACTTTCAGATTGTGTCTTGCGGTATATAGATAGCTACATGTTATACAGGGATCCTCGAAAAAGCAAGGCAAATGTTGACCTCAGGCAGTCTCAGCCAGGGCTTCCGTCCCTCGACTTTATTGGTACCTCCCCTGCTGCCAGGTCTAAGCACATGGGGAGCAGTGATGTACGATCGGTCGGTGGGACTAGGCGACTTCCTCTATCTAAAACTGGTAGTTGTCTATACTCTTCGCACCGCAACTCCACGAAGATATTTTTTGAGAACATTATACCCCGCTTAGAACTACACTACGACAAGAATAACCCGATTGCCCGTGATAAATATGATGCATTAAAGATTTTTCAGGTCCTTAAGGGTGAAGAGCCGGATCTTATTGTGCCGATTGGCGGTGATGGCTATATGATGCATTGCATTCGGAAAAATTGGCGACGATTTATTCCCTTTTACGGCGTCAACGCCGGACACGTAGGACATCTCCTTAACGACTGTTCCGCTCTTGAAGACCTTTTCTCATCCCCGTTAATGATGAACAGCACGAACATGCTTTACTGTCAAGCCGAGAGAGAAACGAAAGATTCGGAGCACATATTGCTTTCAGAGATGGCTTTCAATGACGCTTGGGTCGAGCGCTCGTCTGGGCAGTCTGCTTTCATTCGTATCCTTGTGAACGGTGAGGAGCGGATTAAGGGACTTCGTGCGGATGGGGTCTTAGTCTCCACAGCGGCGGGAAGCACAGCTTATAGTAGCGCAGTCGGAGCCTCCCCGATTCCTGTTGGTTCACCGTTGATTCAAGTGGTAGGTAGCAATGTTGTAGCGCCCTCGCACTGGCGACCTGTTCACTTGAACCAAGAGGATGTAGTGGAGTTTGAGGTACTTGATCACGTTAAGCGCCCATGTCGTTGTTTTGTGGATTCTGTGAATTTGGGTAACATACTCCGCATGCAGGTACGCTCCAGCCGAGTTGCTGGAGTGACACTCGCCTTTTCAAATAGCTGTGATCTTCAGGAAAAGCTCTTCCAAATGCAATTCCCTAAAATAGACTAAAATGCAATTTTAGATTTACAGGGTCAAAACTGATGCAATCATACCACATCTCACTCTAAAATATCCTAAACGTAAGCTTCACCGAAACTTTTTAAAGTATCTGACTCTTGAAGGATTCCTCTTTTCCCCTTTCAGGGCTTGTCATTGGACTTTATATATATATATGTATATATATATATCAGCTGTCATTTAAAAGGTAGATGATTATGAAAAGTTCTAAGTGTCATATTTTTTTCCAATATGACATTTTCATCATCATTAGAGGTCCAAGATAACTTTAAATCTGATGTTTTTCTTTATAACTGGGGAATGATGATTATCATATATTATCTTACTTGCATTATTGGCGCTTATAATTTTGCCTTTTTTTAGTACACTACCCTAATTTGTGACGATTTGATATTCAAGCTGCATTAAGATGAAGACGCCAAGTCTTTATCAGGTTTATCAGTAACTACTCTCTCTCCTGTAAATTCCTATTTTTGTGTTTTAGCATTCTAATTTAAGTCATCTAGCAACAGCTGCATAGTTGTCCAACTTTTCAACGATGAGCAGACACGCCAACTCGGCAACAAAGTTCCTTCGGCGCGGTAAAAACCATTCTCACCAAAGTGCGGATGGCGCCTCGCTGGGCAGGGACCCCTCCATTCCATATGAGGATGAGGCAGGGAGCGATCTCCCACTCGGCTGCTCCCCTGTGCGATCACCAAAGCCAAGCCAGGTCACACTGCAAGGTTCCTCTCAGCACCTTCCACGACAGCGCCCCCGCTTTCATACCGTTCAGGACCTCGACTTGGCCCTCAACCAGGCCATTGAAGGTCGCATCAACAGCAAAAACGCCTGGGCCTCGAAAGAGGCGAGTGACTTACTGGAAGGTATCACGCACACGATTGAAAGTACACTGGAGGCCAACGCGGCGGACGATTATTCAGGCTTCACAAAAGCAGCAACTGTAGTGGAAGGGTGCTCAAAGGTGTGGACAATTCGGGTGGATAGTACCTATCGGCAAAGCAATCAAATGGTGCAACGCCTACTTCGGAATGAGGAAACCTCGACTGGAGATGCCGATGGGGAGGAGGAGGGACAGGAAGAAAGTGGTAACAATGTGCTTTCTGGAAAGAGTAAGATAAAAAGGGGGAATTCCCTGAACTCAACGCTTGCACGCACGTTGGCTCTCAATGCTACTGAAATCAACCTGGATGCTAAAGCCAAAATTGCCCTCACTCAAACCGGTATTAACGCCCAGTTTCGCTCTATCACAGAGAAGTTCGACCAAGGTAATGCACATGGTTTGTTGATGAACAACGCACCATTGGGGAGTATGGGTAACCTCATTCTTGATATCGATTACTCACGCTATTCCTGTAAGGACGTCCAAGACGCGTTCTCGCATCAAACCCGCAAAAGTCATTCAGAGCGCGACTCCGGAAGTGCAAGGGACGACGCTTTTACAGCTGTCACTGTGAAAAAAGAAATTAATGAGGACATTGATCAAGGCAACGAATTTGAAAACGGACTGGAAACATCTCACCTACCGTGGGCTTGTGTTGAGGAAGATACGGAGTTTGATGCCAATGTGGATAACCTACCGGAATACATTGCATCTCCGCTGCTCGAGTCCGCCAGTGAGGGCCGCATAAGCGACGCAATTAATAGCAACAAATCCAGAAGTATACGCGGTAGCACACGAGAAAATGCAGTGAGTGAACTTTTATTATTACCACATGCAGCGATTAAACACGAAATCATTTCAACAGATGCATCTTTACCAGCGGTGGGAAATCCTCTGGTTTCAGACTCCTCTGCTCTTACTGCTAACCATATTGGTGATGATAAGGGCCTTTCGGAGGGTCCTTGCGTAAAATCTGCAGATACGGACGATGACGGCTATGATTTTACCGGATATGATTGCTGGGATGAAGAAGATGGTGGTGCGGTCGAAGAAGGTTCAAATTCCAGCGCCTTCAATGCGGACCATGCCGTGGGGCAGTTCGCATCTGGTGCTTACGAAATGCAAACCATGGATTCTCGGTTTACTTACCCACATGCTGTTCCTGGAAACGATGGCGCAGGTGGAGGGACAGTGCAGCAACTTGCTCTAGAGGCTGAGGACCCTTCCTCATGGTGCTCCCTCGCAGATGTCTCGTCTTACTCGCATTTGTTGTTTGGTGCAGCTTCCCGTTCAGAACTTTCACGACTGCATCGTGAGCACAAGCTGCTCACCCAGTCTCAGAAACAACAACTTCAATCAAGTGCAAACCCAGGTGCCTCTGGTGATGCGAATGTGGGCTCGCCGACAAAACGCTTGAAGAAAGAGCGTACTGTCGTGTTCGACCTTGGTGATACTGCTAAGTTAACTGATGACCCTCTCCCGGGGACTGCATCCGATATTCTCTCAATTGATCCAAGCCGCTTAAATAGCACCAGCAGTATTCTCAAACAGAGTACCACCGAGGGCAAAAACATGACTCCCTTAGGGAAGGAAGTCCTGATTAACAAGGGCGCTGAGAGCCTGGCGCAAGCTTACACACAAAGCTCCGTGCAGCGCAGCAAAGCTGAGGAGTCTAACCTTCTGCTGCCTCCCGCGCCTATTCCTGGTAAAACGATACCGAGCTACCTCCCTCACCCGGTTGATATTTCAAGTTTTTTCCAGCCTTTTTCAACGGTAGCTTCCGAGTGGAATCTTCTACGCAAATCTGCATCTGGACAGCTCAGAATTGGTACCTGTTCGAGGAATGCTTCGTCCCTCAATGTTGGGAACGCCAACGACCATCATGCCGCCTTGAATGGTGTTGAGCAACAGTGTTATGATGATGGCGACATCGGTGAGGGTGGTTGCCTGGGTGGGGATATGCCAATGGAATATTTTCCCACAGGCGCTGATATCCTGGCGGAGAGGGGGGCAGAGGATTGTATGGGTTATGACCTTGGTGGTGAGTTGGAGTATTCCGGTAACGATGACTATGACCCTGACGAACTCCAACACCAGGAGCATCAGAGACTGCTTGCGCAATTTGAAGCTCAAGCAGCAGCGGTAACAGTGGTTTCATCGACTCGTACAAGCAAAGGCGAAGATGGGTCTATGGGAGAGGACACCGACGCGGTGTTAGATCCAACAGAACTTTTGCGCATGTTCCAGTCCCCTGAAGCATTCTTGCCTACACAAGTGGACGTGGTGAAGCTGCGGCAGATCATGTGGGAGATCGTGCAGGAATCGCTTGGGATTAGCTCGAAGCAAAACCCCCTAGATTGTGATACAGATGAAGCTTATAAAAAGGAGAGAGAAGTCAACTCGAGTAAAACTGATTCCCGTGAAGAGGTTAATGAGGGATCTGACAAAGTACTCACGACGAGACGCAATCTCGACCGAGAGTTTGGTATGCTGAAGCCACACATGCAGTCAATCCTCAAGCCACGCAAAAAGAATCAGCAACATGTAGACCCAAATAGCAAACAAGAGAAGGAACGTAAGGAAGATGAAAGTGATCGAATAAGGACCCAGGACGTCACAAAGGACAGCAGTGATAAGCATAAGTGCGATTTGGAAGATAAAAATGGTGAAATCGTGGATAAGGCAGCTTCGGAGTTTCCCATGCTCCGTTTCAGTGATGTCGTTACTAAGCTCCTACCTGTTGTCCCGAGTATTAGTTCAACAGGGACACTTTCCCCTGCATTTTTTTTCTTTTCCATCCTCTTCTTGACCAACGAACATAATTTGGTGCTGGAAAATATGAATACGTTAGATGATCTAATCATTCATAGTATCCCAAGGCGGCCCCATAAAATACGCGTATAGTACAGAGAATATGAGTCAATAAATATGATATTATTGGTTTGTTTTCAATAGACAAAGCGTTTTAAGAAGAAGGGATGTGGTGTGCTTCTTCTAAACTAGATAGCTTTTATACAAATATTTCATTATTCTCTTTATTTTAGAATATATATATATATATAAAGACTTGTATGAAAATTTTCATTCTTCCGTGAACAATTCCTTCATCACAAATAAATTTATAGGTATTGATTTTCATATTTGATTTCATTCAAGAAAATCCCGTATGATAAACTGTATACACAACAAATCAATAGGTTTGGAAATACACACTTACTGCTGCCAATATTATTACCATTGCCTTTATTTTTTCCCTAAAATTTTCTCTAAGATGTTTCTTACATTCTAACTGAGATCTCAGTGGGTTCCCCATTTTATAGGATCTTTATTCAGGAATTAGGGAACAAATTCAAAGGAAAGATACTGTGTTCAAAGAAAAAATACGAAGATCGCACTCCGAGACTCATTAGGTACACAAAAGGAATGAGTTCCGCGTTACCACGAAACTATTATCTTTTGACTCACGATGCGTTGCGTTTAATTGCAGGAAATGAGGCGGAGCTATCTGCCTTTGTAAAAGATCGGAAGGCTTTTCAGTGCGACATGCTAATAAACTCTGCGATGACAGATCCCTTGCTAGCTGAAACTAATTCTAACTATGTGAACGAGTTTTCCTCGATGCTGCAGAAGAAGATGGTTCAATGCAGCTTACTTCCGCTTGAGCGTCGCATCGAGATCACATTTCCAAATCAGGAAGTGCTACACCTGGCTCTCGGAGCCCCGAGAAAATGGCTTAACGGGATTCAATCACCTGAAGAAATTAATCAGGAACCTGACTGGCGGCTTCGAAACCGCTTACGCATTTCTCTTGGTTTCGACGAGGCTCTCTTCACAAGATTTTGCCCCTCTATGGTAAACATTGCAGCCCGCTATATGGAAAACTGGACATACCAATTATATATGAATAACAAATATTTGCTGCATTCATACAAACCAGAAATTACCAGCAAGCTAGATATCGACTCATCCGCTGTGCTTCCTCCCGTTTCGTACTGGCAGGCACACGGCTACGTACTGCTGCAAAACTACCCGCTCGAGAACTTCAGGGATGTGTATTATACCGTGCGCCATAACTTTGCAAAATATTACAAAATTTACCCATTTAATAACCCCTACTGCGAAGGTGAGGATCTGAATACCATGAAAGTTGCTATGGATCTCTGCAATCTGTTGTCTTCGCAACCTTTTACAACCGATGAGGTCGAGCGGGAGCTCAACCTGAGTATGTCACCATATCCTGGGAAGGACCAGTCTTAGCCACAGTAGGAATCGTTTAATTTTGCAGTTGTAATGTAAGCTGCTCATATCATATATCTATTCTTAACCATCCTCAAAAAATAAAAGTATGGATAGGAATATATACGATCACATGCAGTGCGGCCAAAAAAAAAAACAGCTTTTTCTTTTTTTCTTAGGACCCCCTTTCCGTATTCTCAGTTTTCTTCACAAGCCTTATGTGTAAACTTAAATTAACGTTCTTGTAGAATATAATGTAGGTGTCTATTTTTTTGGTGTGTATCTGCGTGTACCTCTTCTTTTGAAGGAGAAAAAATAGGGTCTTGAATGTGTCACACCGAACGAGCATTTATCTTTTTGCCTTCACATTTGCTGTCTTTACATTCAACTATCAGTTGAGTCAAAGGACAACATAGGATGTTGTTATCCCTAACTCAAATGAATCTTCCTATTCAACAGAAATGGACAATTGGGATTCTCTTTCCAGATTGCTGCCTATTCTGAATTAAGTTTCGTTTCTTATGTTTTCATTCACTTTTCCCCATGTTATAAGAGTATTTCTTTTATCTGGTTCTTGATAGAAGAACCTGTTTCCAATTGATTGATGAGGACCGCCGAAAATGTCATCACAAGATGATAATCACGATATCTGTAGTGGCAAAAAAAAACAAAATCTTCACCTCGAGGGGATCAGGTCTGCCTTGACACGCAACACTTGTCTTCATCTTCTACAGAAATCGTCGAATCGACTTATGACACTTCTTTGACAAGTGCTTTTTCGTTAACGGAACGAGGCAATTCTACAAGAGAAGAAATAGAATTAGGAGCTCTGAATCCTTCTAATGAACAGAAACGGCGCATGGCTTTGTACGGCAGTCGCGCGCTGGCTGCGGGTAGTAAATGTTATTCATCTCATTCTCCAAGCAGCAGCAGCAAACCTGTGCGACAGCATCCCCTGACATGCTTTGGCTCTCGTCGTAGGGGTGACTTATGCCAGTACATTCAGCAGGCTGGCGCGCTTTCCTCAGAAGCCAAGTACCTAGTCGTAGGCGATGGCATCATGGCCCCGTTTATGGCGCTGTGTTTGCGCGTGCATGGTCTAGAATGCGACTTGGCTCATCATCCATCGAATAATGATCTGGATCGTGGAACGATTACCCTAACCCCGTCCGTGACGCAGCTCATGGGTGATGTTCTATCTGTTTCCGTGCCCTCCGGCAGTGTCATTGGTCGTATCCTCGCCTTTGACCATATTGGGAACGATATGTGTGATATCGACTTGAACGAATTTCGCGAAAGGGGCGAGAGCCCAACCTTTTTTTGCTGTGATCGACTTAAGGTTGAATCCGCGCTGTTGTCGCTGTGCCACCAGGGTCCGCATAGCTGTCACGTGCTCGCGAAGCCACACATTGATCGGGGTGGGCTGGATGCACTTGATAATGGTGGTGTTCGTGTGCATTTCTCGAGTGGTGTTCAACAGGATTACATTGGTATAATTTGCACCTCACGGAATCAGGATTGTGTTCCAGAGCTGACCATATCTAACGAGGATCTCCAGCAGCGCGCTGAGAATGCTGAAAAGCATAAGGAGAGCTTTATGAAGGCAGTACGTTGGCTAGAACTATGCATCCCTCCGCTACCGGAGATCGGCCAATATGAAAAACGTTTCACACCGGGGTCTCAAGAGATTGTTGAAATTCTGACACCACGGGATGCCAAGATGACGGTACGACCCACAATGATGGCCACAAAGCTATTTTACAACGTAACTATAACTATCCCGGACTCCACTCCGGATCCACGTCTCGCCAGCACCAGCACTAAGCAGTTTTGGGATGACGTTGTGACGCATTGGACGGCAGGAATTCCTGGTTACATCTCGCACACTATGTTTCGCCCGATGTTCACCCATATGCAACAGAATTTTACGAAGTCAAGTGCGTTGGTGTATCGCACACCGTTGTTTCTGATGCCACATTGGGTTGAAGGTGGGGGTCGACTTATTAAAATGGGGCTTGCGGCTCACAGTGGCTGTTTCGATGCCATTGATGTGGCCGATGCACAAAGCTTTACAGACTGCTTTAGCTTGGCACGCGCCATCTCAGGAGGCGAGGACATCACAAAGTTTCTGTACGAACGTCGTCTTCAGGTGATGGAGGAAATGGACCATCACGCTCAACTTGTTGACTTTGCGGTGAAGGAGCGACGGCAGATTGCGTACATGATTTCGCGGTTCAACATGAAATTCCTGCGTAAGTACAAGAGAAGCTGGAGGGCCATACTGAAAAATTATATTACTCTGATACCAAAAAGCTAGTTGGTCGGTAAGCAGCCTTTGGTTGAGTACTATAAGTACAAAATCGCACCAAGGCATCCGTTTTTTTGTACATATTGACATTGACTAGATGAAAAGAGTTATCCTAATCATATCAAGCTCGAAGAGGGAAAAGTGTCGCTTGTATTAGAGCTGGCTTCTTGTGCTTATCGTCTACCTCTCTGAAAGGATAATGAACTATATGGCCTAGATGTTCAAATAGGTCGTTGGTATGATATCACTGAAGAGTAGGAATTGGTATATCAGCAAAACTATACTAAGAAAAATTTAACTGAAAAAAAAGAGAAAGATATTGGATTATGAAAGTTTTTCCAACTACAAAATATGTTTCTTGCTTTTTCTTTAGTTGCATCCAGTACGCACAAAAAGCGGTGAGTGTTGCAAATTCAAATGGTACAAACAAGTAAAAGAGAAACTCCTGAAGAAAGACAACCCCAGTTCAACACTTAGATTTTCTGATATCTGTGTTGCTTCCGTTATTAATTATTGGTATATTTGCCTATAGGAGAGTAAGGAAGGGTAATATATTTTTGGGTATTATTATTGGACACCTAACTTCTGCGTCCAAGTTTACTCATAAGCTAAAAGTAAATTAGTAAATTCAATGCTCCCTGAAACGCATTCTAAGTCGTACGCGATTCCTGCAATTCTGTGGATCTGCACTTTTCTGCTTACAAAACGGTTCCCAGGTCTCCTTAAAACATTGAGCATGAGGTTTTCTTCAGAAGAAGCTTCTCTGGGTATGACTAACTTGGACATAAACCACCTTGATCCGCTTTCTTCCAGCGGTTTAGACAGCGTGGGGTCTACGTCGTCTAATGCAGCTTCAAGAAATGTTGCATGGATTGGCTTGTTACACTCTCCAGTACAGTTGTTTCACTTCTGCGTCTCCCTGTTTCGCTGGTCTGGAGAATTTAGGTCTAGAAATCGATCTTACCGCCGTGCCTTAGTCATTTTAGGCACATCCATGAGTTCACTTCTTGTTCACACAAGCCGATGGAACTTAATCAATAGTATCATCGTTTACGCTTATACTCTTTCTATCGGAAAAAGACATTTTCAGCGTTACGAGGCCGTGGCTGATGTCCTTGGTGGATTTCTTGGTGCCACACTCACGAACATCTTCCTGTATCTCCGTATGCCAATTTTTTGTCCCTCGAAGCAGCGCTTTCCGCCTCGACTAGGCTTGCTGGGGGAAAGGTCGTTTCTCTTAGGCATTGGCTCTGCTCTTATAGTAATGCTTACCACGCTTTTTCCTTTTCATAGCTTTTCCACTCACTTAATCACTTCTGTCCCGCCAAGGATTTCGCAAAAATCGACCGAAGGAGTCAGTGATAATGAAAGAACTTCTCCAACCACACGTGAGTTACCGTTAGAAGCGACCACCACAAACGAGAGTGCGCGAATCACTGGTTCACATGATAGTTCGTTCTTTGATCATCCGTCTATAGCTCGTACCACAGCTTGCGTCTGTGGCGGAGAGACTTTTTCATACGCGCTGTCCGGTTTTCGCTTTATTTACAGATCGGATGTTGCACAGCTACGTGGTGCTGTATGGGGTTATTGGATAGATTGGCTCCACAATTACTCTTCAGATATAAGGGCCCCATGGTGGTTGTCTGGATTTGCTACAGATCTTTTGGGCTCCGGAGACTTTGAAGAAACAACTTCAATATCTGGCACCCTATTCTTTACATCAACAACTTCACCGGATCTCCACCACATGAACACACTCGCCTTTGTTATGGGTGGAGGTGTCGCGTGGGCAGCAAAACTCATCCCCAAGCTCTCTATAGTGAATTATTTTATTGGCCTTTTCTACGAATTGCCACCTCCACCAATTGTTATCCCAAGTGAACTTATTGATTCTGTACTCACAGATTTGTCGGTTATACGTGTTTACACAGCTTGCCCGTGTTCCTCATCAAGTATCAGTGTCAACTCACATTCTGCTGATCAAATAAATAAGAAGGCAAAAAATAATTCATCCACAAATATGACTGTACCTCTGGGTAATCATACTGCCTCTGAGGATTATGTAGACATTTCCATACTACCAGAATGCATTTGCCCAATTACGCGGAATATTATGAGTGATCCCGTTATAACCGTGGATGGTTTTACATATGACCGCGAAGCTATTGAAGAGTGGCTGCATCACCGAAATTCCTCACCCATGACAAACCTACCTCTTAGAGATACGACCCTTGTATCCAATCGGCAGATTTACAGAAAAGTGCAGGAGGTGGTCGCTGCTTATAATGATGCAATTAGAGGAAAATGAGTTGTATAAAGGTAAAAATATTTGAAAAAATTAATAGTAACCATCACAAAATGCTCTTGGTTTTCTATTTTACTCATTCATTCCTCTCCTAGTCATATTCGATGAAGTAGTTTTGCATGTATATTTCACAGCACTACTTATCCTGTCATCTATAGAAAAAAAATTGGGTTTATTCGACATTATTGATCCACCTATATTTATAACTGACTGTGTCGAAGGAAATTGTTCATTATATTGTTAGAAAAGCATGCTCGCAAAGTTAATGTATTTTTATTTGGCTTTTTTTTTTTGATCAAGGAAATTACCTAAAAAGAATTAGCCTCTACTTTGAAAAAGTAGAATGATTCGACCCAACCTTTTTTTCAACTCTTTACCTTCTTTTATAGAAGTAAACCATAGTATAGAAAAGATTTAATGTTAGGCTTTATTAAGTAAAAAATAATGTTAGAGTACACGAAAAGTCTATTGACCTAAGATGAAGTGTGTGATTATGTAAGAAAGCTAAGCATTATATTGTGTCTTTCATTAGTGCGAGGTTTGTTTTGCCTATCGGTTAAGCAAGTGATATGCAATCTTGTATGAATCAATGGAGAAGTTACACGGAGTAGAATGCATTTATCAATCACATTCATTTGTATACTATAACTCATTTTGAAACCCGTTGCTTAAATTTCAGATAGCAATGATCAAGAAGGTTTGGTATAAGATTACATCGATTCTGAATGAGGTCTACGATGCGACATTAATTCCAAATCATACACATCTTTTACTAGAAGTACGCAAACTGGATTACGGAAAGATGAGATTCGACATAAAATAGACAATATGAGAAGTCTTGAGTTTTTTCTCTCTTTTGTAAGTTATTTTAAAAATTAACACATACATATTCTCTTTCTTATTTTATGGAAATAAAAAATTTCCTCCTGTTTTATGTCTAGAGAGTCTCTTGACAAGCTCCCTGGTTGTATTTATTAGGGCGTTCAATCGATTGACCGACTTGACACCGCGTCGGTGGCACCACCTTCCAGCACTAAGGGCTATCCTATGGATGGTAATGCTATTGCAACGTTCAACGTTATTGACGACTCACTAATGACAATAGGACAGGAAAGGGAACCTAGTGCAAAGAGTGGTTGCGGAATGAAACACCTCGGGGGGCATGGAGTTTCAACTTCAGAACCCCTATGCGGTGTCAAAGGGCCTGTGCTAAGTAAAGACGCGCGTTGTTTGAGACTTGGCTATGCTATTCCGATAACATAAATGACGCCGAAGTGGGCTGTTCTCTTTTTTTACAAAAGAATCCACAACAAGAGCCGTTTCGTAGCCATAATAAAAGTCATCGTTCACTGAACAGCGAAGGGTACACTTCTGTTCTTTCTACATCAGGATCTGTGCTCCATGTGGTTGATGTTGACGATCTTGAATATGGAAACGCAATAGTTCCGACCAATTTGCACATTAAGCGTGTTGGCTTAGAAAAGCGTCTAGTTCTGCGTCTTCCACTCCTCTTGTGCATAAGCAAACAATATCCTCCTGGCTGTGGATTTTCTCCTTAATTTTTATTAAAAATTACTTTTACAGTTTTATCTGAAAGACTGCTGCTTATGTTGACGTATTGTCTGTCTCTCAAGAAGTTATGACAATCCTCGGATTTGAGCCACCCATTTGGTGGGATTCCGTGGGGAAGCTTTACAGGGAATACAACACTGATTCTATGGCTCCATACATGGGATCGCCACTTTGTTCGGAAGGGGTTTCGCACTGCGTACATATTACATGTAACTCATGGAAAGGGTAAGGCAACATTTATGAACGAAAGCAATACCAAAGTATTATATACAGTCAAAATGGTCCCCGCGGACCCCTGTTGTGCATGATTTATCATTATTATAATCACGACATGGTACCTGTGGGCTATCTAGACAACTTAATAGCGCAAACAGACTTCTACAGTCCACAGGTTTCGGCGGAAAACTGTCATACTACAATTTTTATCAGGGAGGTAAATAGAGGAAACCCCGAAACGATGCATACACGAAAATGGTCGTTTCAAAGAATATTGAGTACCAATCGCCATACTTTTTAAACATCCGGCAACTAGAGCAATGGGTTTAGCTGAAGAGAATGAGGGCTCTGCATTATAGTATGAACGACTTGAGAAAACGATAGGTAAAGAGTAAAAATGGGGATTTGCGCATTCGGGGCAAACGTGCTGACAACCGCATACTTTTTCTTGAATGCAAGCTGAAGACAAGACATTCACCAATAGAGATAGATTTGTCGTAGATGCCACCCTATTGATTTTATCAGTGTTCAGCACGCCTTGCATTTCAACGCAGGAGTTTTAAAACGGCGGCCATGTTGTATGCAAGCCTAGTGGATTTGTGGTGCACGCAGAATGGCCTGAGGCAACTAGCCTAAAGCCACATGTAGGCGCGGTAGCGGATGGTGGCGAAACATCATGTCTCTGTGTTGGACAAATGACTGTACCTCCATTTGTTATAGCCACTTCTGTTACAGAGAAAGCAAAATCCAAACGTGTACCCAGTAATCTAAAGTGTTTAATAACCTTCTGAAATGATAAAATCAACGATGATATCAGCAAATACAAACTAGACAGCGCCGATGGTTTATTTTCTATAAGCAATAATTCCGAGGAGGGGAAAAAATCTAGAGCCTGAAACAGATGCTCTGATGTGAACTGGATATGTGTTTTTTTACATGGAGACAATGAAATAAACTTATTGCATACTCTTCTCTGAGGATTTACCATTGTTTCTTTCTTTCTATTTTTTGTTTTACGACTGTTTCATTCTGGCAGTGATAATGGGGTTCATTAAGGAGGCATAATGTATTTTTTTCGAACCAATAGTTTCTTTAAGTTTTTTCAAAAGATGGGAGAGAAGGTATATTAAAAAAATTCCAATCTGCGCGAGCAGCCCGAGAATTTTGTGAATTGCTAATTTACCCAATCTTCTATTTAGTATATATTCTGTTATAAGGGTTATTACTAAATAAATCACGGTGAAAAAAACTTACGCTACAAAAGTGTGAAGACGGGTGTTGTTCTCCTGTGTCAACCCTTTCTCCAAACGAAGGTGATGATGTTATTAGGACTGTAAAGCAAAAATACTCCTCTTTTTAGACTGAAAACGTAGTTTTAGTTTTACAAAAATAATGAAAAGTTAACATGGTGTCGTTCTAAGTTCCTCATTGTAGTAATATTTTCATCATCAATTCTAAACAAATAAATAACTCAAATTTATCCTCCAGTTGTGCACCATGCATATATTTTTTATAACTTCCAACAATAGGCAGTTTACCTAACAGACAGGAAAATACTGCTTTATACTATATTATTGACACAAAAAAACAATGAAAACTACAACTTATTGAAGATTTAATTTATTACATTACATTTTACATTCTATGAACTTGCAACACAATATCTATAGAACATGTTTTCTCTTTCTCATTTATTTTCATTACTACCTTTTTGTTATCTTTAAAGGACTTGCACATTTTTCTTTTATTGTACTTTTCTAAAGTATCTTAGGAGGTGAAAAAAGGCTAAAATAGAACTTCAGGTCTATTGTCTTATATTTTTGTTTCAAATCAAAAAAAAAGATATAGGTATTTTAATTGCTTCTGTACTCACGTTTTGACTTTGTGAACAGAAGCAACGAGAGGTGTATTCAAACAAATCCAATAAAACTTTAACAGTGTTGATTATGGATCCTGTTCGTAGACAAGAAATAAGGGGTACACGCCGTCAGCGACGTGCCCAAAGAGTTGTGAGGGCAAGTGCCAATGAGAGCCCTTTGTATGACGGTAATGGTATGACAAATGTGAACGCAGAAAATTCGCAGATTAGCGAGACTGCTGGCACACCAGTAGCGGAAGGGGAGCATGGTGTAAACCGAAACGTGTGCCCACAATCTACATTATCCGATACCACCCGGTTGCTGGAAAAGGTTCAAAGACAAAAAAAGGAAGGTAACGACACAGCATTAGAGCTTTCGGAGCGTGAGGCGCTTGTCCAGCGGCGGTACGCACCGAATGTTCAGGCATTTTTGCGGCAGTCTCTCTCACCATTGCCTGAGGAACAGTCCAAGTTCCGAAACACAACGTCCCTTCAGACGGCTCATAACTTTAAGAAAGACGATCTTTTGGCAGCACTTATAGCTGACACTCAGGGAAACTTTCTAAAACTGGACCACGAACTCTCTGAAGATTACTCACTCGCGGCACAGCGTCTGCACGCTTCGGTGTTCTCTCATGCCAATGATTTTTTAGCCCTTTTCCGAGATGTAGAAAAAACAAGCGGCCTTGTCGAAGTGCTCAAGGCGAATGTTCAGGGGACCAAGGCTGCCATATCGGCTATTAGTAAGTTTAATTACTTCAACATTGGCGACAGCAATTTCCCGGTCAGTAGCCCACACCCATCCTTTTCAGTGTCTCCATCTAAGGTGAGCAAACTGGGCTCCAACCCTGTGGATACAGGGGATAATAGGTTGCTATCCTGTCAGCGGCCAAGTCTCGTGTCCCACTGCGCCTATTGTTATGATGAGTGTAGTGTAAATATTTCTCGGAATTGCTCTATAAATGCCAATGGAATAGATCTTACAGGCGTTGAGACTAACGTGTACACGCGAGCACAACGAAATGCTAGCAGAACTGTGGGATCGAGCACTACAGCTGAGGGGACCGAAATTCATCCTGCATGTGAGCTCTCTGATACAATAAGAACACATAGCGACCATTTCTTTGCTGTGCCGCAGACAACTGGTACCTCCTTTAGGCCTACAACCCGCTCCTTAAACATTCGTTCATTTACACAGTGGCAGCACGCCATTGGAAGTGGTGGAGTCTACACCGCTAGGAAAACAGATGTCACTAACCTTTCAAGCGAAAACGGAAACAATAAAAGCCTCGATATCCCTGCTTCTTGCGACAACGATGGTAAAACAACTTTCAAAAAGAAAGGCTTAGAGTTGCATTTCACAGAGGTGCAAGTGTTTGCAGATGTTTTGAAGGAAGAGGTAGTTCAATTGTTGTCAGAACGGCGTCATTCAGAGGCAGCGGAGCTGCTTCGCAGCTTAAGTGGCGAGGCAGAGCGCAAAGGCTGTCTTCCACTCTTACTTGAGTTAGAATCCACGCTTGTTCGATCTATCCTTGACAGCCTCAACCACGTGCCCATGACGATGCTGTACGCTGAAAGCGTACATATGCCTTTACTTCGACTTTTATTACGGTTTGGGAGGCACAATAGCGCGTCCTCAGCATATTTGGCGCTTCAGTCGATGTGGTTACGGAACGAATTGCGCAAGCTGCATGACAATGCTGATCCCAAACATGCAAGCATAGTGGCAGTGGAATTCTTAGTGGTAGCTATTCGATCGATTCTCCAGCGGCAACGCACCTTGGGCATACCCTTGGACGAAGCACGGAAAGCACCTTTTCTGAATAACGACGGTAATAATAACAAAGGGGTGGATCATCAAGTGTCTCCAAACTCAACAGCGGCTCTCTGGGTCCAAGAGAATGTCATGCACTTTGCGCAAGAACTTCTTACACCACACGTGCTTAGCTACGGAACTGAAACCGTCGGTGGTGACCCCTTGCAGATTCGTCACGCGGTAGCCGTACTGACCAAAGTTGTAGAAGTGTTGTATGGGCTCACATTAGACGGCTTTGCGGGGTATAATACACTCACACTCCAGTTTTTGACACCAGGTTTGATGATTCTGGAGGCTGAGTTTGCACGCCTAACTGAGGCGCGTCTTGAGAGCACTGGTCGTGCCATGCTTAAATATCTCATCACGAGTGGGCTTCACATGTACAAAACGAATGCAGCTGAGTACGAACCGTCTATTTGTGCAGACATTGCATGGAAAAGTAACGCACGGTCCCACGAACTGCTGCGAAATGTTAAAGGAATGCCGTGTGGTCCACATATGCGAGTCATTCAGTTGCTTTTGTGTCCGGCTGCCTCCGATTTATTTGATCGCCACCATTCTGCAGCACCACCTGGTACATCAGTTCAGGGTACCAAAGCAAAAACAATTGAAAAAAACGAACCTTTTCTTCAAAACAAACAAAACTGTACTACTAAAGATGACGGTAGCAGCAGTGCGACTTCTTCCTCATTTTTGCCCCCGGAGCGATTTAGATTCTCGCGCTACGCCAATGGCTGCACTAGTGTGCATGACTTGTTCGTGCACTCTGTGGTGCACTTTACTGCAGCAATGGGCGGCCGTAAATGGAAGCCAAGCAGTAACACTGATAGTAACACTACTTCTCGAATTAAAGTTCAAAACCCTAGGGATCTGGGAAAGACTGTTACAGACAACTCAACGGCTGCTCGTATATCTGAAGAAGGGAAATATGGCAGTAATAAAGGAGTGGGACTCGATCCAGCCGAAAATAGGCCACAGGCTAAAACTAGCTTGATCTTTTCCAATTCCCTTATCGCCGATACGTTTGATTTGACCTTGCACGATTTGTGTGCTGCTTTCTTGTGCACTTCATTACAGCAGCGGTACGCTCTGATAGAATTCCTCTCCTCAGAAACTTTCATCTCTCATCAGCATGCCTTATTCCCTCCAGTCGCAGAAGAGGATTGTGAAGTGAAATCGTTGTTTTTCAATAACCCGGTCAAATCTCCCGGGTGGGTGTTCGATGGGTGCAGTGCCCTGCTCTCGGATATGATAAGCGTCAGCGTGTGGGTATCGTACCTGGTCCAGGGTAATGCTGTGAGTCATCTTTTGGGCGATACAACCGTCTCATTTCAGTCACAGCATCTTGAGGGTCTACGGCGCGTTCTCCCAGGCGTCGTGCAGAGCTGGTTGACAACCACTTTATCACTAGGCTACAGGATTGACAACGCTAAGGGTCTATTGCCTGCTTCTGCTGTTGCTGTGATCATGCGTCTACCCCAGCCGAAATCCCCTATATGTACCGCTGACAAAGAAGGTGATGCTGCGGTGGATACGAAGGCTGTCGGCAGAAGCCCTGCAAAACCTGCGATGAGGGGTGAATCTAGTCCGTTGCAATCGTCACGTTTTGATATCGCAACCGGCCTGAACATCGCCCACTCGTGCTCTGAGTCGTTAGGTGCAGTATGTAACACAAATGGAAGGCATCTATTTGGGGAACTCAAAAGTGCAGTCTCCGCCGCTGGTGACGCGTATAGTATCAATAGCTTTGGAAGTCGTGTGGCAGGCATGTGTGGCTTCCTAATGGGGACTTCAGGTGCCGCTGGAAAGGGCAATATTAGGCAATTGACTGCGAACGACCTCTACAGTGGTGATGATGACATGCATATTCTCTCCATACCGGTGATGGAATTCAATACTCGTAATGATGGCGTGAAGGACAAGGCCGATGCAGAATCAACACAAGGAAAAGACCCTATTTTCCCGAAATTAGCAGGCATGTCGATGTCTAATATGGCGCCACCTCTTTCACTTGAGTTGTCTGCTGCAACACAAATAGACGAGCGGAAGTTATTGCCTCTTCTTCTTGAAATTTTAGACACAGAATACTTTACGCCGCATGGCTACTGTGTCCATCATCTCCTAATTTCCATGGGCACGTCTTCGTTTGTTGACGCCATTGAGTATATCAATGGCACCACACATAAGTTTTCCAATGTGTGGGCAGTGCGTAGTGCACTCCCTAGCTACCCAGAATTTCCCATCGGCGAGGAATTCGACCGCAATGATGAGCTTTTTCTCTTTCACTGGTGTGTCCAAATATCATTACATTTGCTAACTTTGTTTCAAGAAAGGTTTCTGGTGCCAAGTTATGCGCTGAATATGCGTGCGGGGGAAGTTGTGGGGCAGCGACAGACTTCTCAAGGAAAGGGCATCCTGTCGATGAGTAAAGAAGGAACGCAATACCCGGTGCAAGGTTGTGTATCGCCTTCGGACGACAGCGCCTTGGCGGCCATTTGTGCGGGTGGCGGCAACTACGTTGGTGCCATCTGTATGCTACAGTTTTTAGTGGTTCGCTTGCTGACCGATGCATTATGCTCTAGCACAACCTGGAACGCGGTTTATGCATGTAAATCTAGTGCTGAATGGCGCGCTGACAAACGTGTGCGCCGGCAGCAATTATTCTTTTTCGCACTATTCATGCGGTTCTGGTCGCCCCTTTTTTACGGAGGGATGTCTGTCCCACTGTATGATGTCTCCAAAACTAGCGTTGACGAAGTCCAAACAGGTAAAAATTCGGTAGACGGTAACAGGGATATCCCGGGCTCGTCACTATCGTTTCCCGAAGCGAGTTTAACCGGCGAAAAGGGTGTGCCTGCATTGGTAATCCTGGAATGGCTCACCGCAAGCGGTGTTTCGCGGCAGGCGAGAACGGCCTTTACAGCTGCGGCATCCAATAAGTCGCACTCCACTGGCGTAGGCCATTCCATGCAGACCGATCGTTATTCCCTAAGTCAGACTGACGGCAATGCGTGCTTTAACACCGCTGTAGATGAGCTTTTCGGTAGTAATGGCAGCGCTGGAAAGGTAAGAAAGGATAGTTTATTTGGATCTGTGAATGCCTTTCCGTCAAGTGCTACAGCCACTCGGAATCAGGCTCAGAACTCGTTGCCTTCGCAAAATGTGCGCGTGCCGAACACTAGAAATACTACAGTGTTGGCTGCAGATCCCTCCACTGCGAATGTACCCCTTAGCGTGGGATCCTATTTGCCAACCACGCTTCTTGATATAGTACAGTGTTTTTTTCAAGATACACTAGGTGAAACACATGCTGTTTCATTTTTGACCTCCAACCTTATGCGCGATCGAGTAGATCGAGCACTTGTGTCAATCAATCTTGCAGATTTTGTCGGTACCTCTCACTTGCAAAGCGGAGAGGAGGAAGAAAATACGGACGAGTTTGATATAATTGCAAACGGTCGTGTGACCTTAGCACATGTGCGAGAATTGCTTTTTAGTTATATTCAGCCACTTTTGTAGTAAACTGTTTTAAAAAACGAATAAATTGCAAGCACCGACAATATTTTTTGAGTATCCCAAAGGATAGCATCATGCCCAAAAGCCTTTTCTCATGGCCAGATCATTTTTTCTTCTATTTTGTTTTAAGCTTGCGATTTTTGCAGCCAAGGGCGTCATTTACCGCATCCCGAATAAAAAGCTCCTCCCGTTGGATTCGAACCAACGACCTGTAGGTTAACAGCCTAACGCGCTGCCGACTGCGCCAGGGAGGATCCGTGGGTACAATTTTATATACTGGTAACTATAAACAAACCCTAAGTTTCATTTAAAATGCAGTTCATTTTTTAAAGGGCCGCTGATTAGAACCATTTCCCTGGATAAGGGGGAATCTAGTTTGTGCAAAAAAAAAAAGAGATCTTAATTGCTAGTATTATTAAAATTCTAATAATTTATTTTTGAAAATTAAATTATTTATCCTTTTTTTTTTAATTCATAGTATTTTTTTTTTCAAATTGCCATGTTTCTAGATTTCCCTTTTGGTCTGAAGCGGGATCTTCTGTTAAAAGATTCCTGGTCAACTCCCATAAGCCAAATGTTTTAAAAATTTACCCAACCTGAAGGTTCTATATTTTGAAAAGTAATGGGATCTCTTTTTATAATCGGTTATCGTGATGGATCTCCCCCACCCCTAGCTCAAACAATCCGGGGAAATAAACTTTAAATTTTCCCCCAAACGCCTTTATTTTTATAAGTATCACCGGGGTATGGGGGAATTCAAGGCATCGCAAGGAATAGAATTTGCTTTATTTTATAGTATAAAAAATAGCGGGGTTTGGGATATTTTTCACTTTTCCGGGATGGCGTTTCAGGCAAAGCTTGAGTTAAGATTTATCACCCTGTTTGTAATTTTTATTTTAATCCCCGGTTTTTAAACGGTGGGTTATTTTAATTCTTGGACAATAAGATATTTTTGGAACAATAAATAAGAAATATCGAGGAAAAAGTAAGTCACCGATTCTGCTCCGAGAAAAATTTGTTTTAAATACTTTTTTCATTCTGCGCATCCACCCTTCGGGTTTTACGATGCGTTCATCTTTGGTGTTGTCGCAACTTCGAAAAGGCTCGGTGAGATCTTGGGCATGTTGGTAAATCTTGCGCCACTTGCGTTCTTTAGTTTTTTTTTTGATGAGCTGATATGTCTACCCCCCACCTCCCGCTCAATACCACCTTGCCTGGTATGGTCAATGGGTTCTTTTTTTTCCAACAATCCTTGGGTTCAAGGCGCCGCTCGATTTTCTTTTGCTCATATTATCTATTCTAAATAAATGGATTTTGTTTGATTGATTATTGAAGTTTTAAATGTTTGTCTTCTGACAGAACGTTGTTGTTAATCTAAACAGAAGAGCCTAAACAGGAAAGCAACCCATTTCAGCCAAGCTTTATAAATATGTTTCTATTGATATTTCATGATTTATTTTATTAGTGTAGTTGTTAAAAAAATTCTAGCCATCTGAAAAGATTCAAATACTATAATGAAGCGTTCTCCTTATTTAAAGCTTCCTTCATTAATATTCAACTCCCTTGTGGAACTACAAGATGGTCTAAATGCTATGATTGATCGTTCATGGAGAAATGTTAGAACTCCTGACAACTGGAGTCTTGCCATCACTATGGAGACCGCGGAATTGATTGACTCATACCCATGGAAATGGTGGAAAAATATCTCCTCAGAGCCTGACTTTAATAACATTCGTATTGAGTTAGTTGATATATTTCACTTTTCACTTTCTGGTGCAATGATGATGAAATCTATTGTTGATGATAAAATTTCTATGGTGACAAAAAAAAATCTTGCGGATTCATTTACACCTTTTGAGTCTAAGTCTGGTGTCTATACAACAGCAGTTGATGGAATGATTTTTCTTCCTTTAAGCAATATTGAAAACGCATTAGCGTCCTTTCGAAATATAATTCACCTCGCTAATATATATCGCTTTGAAATTATCACCGAAGCTGTTATATGTGCCGCACATGATTTAAACATGAATCTTGTTGCATATTACATAGCAAAGCATACCTTAAATTACATTCGACAGCTTAATGGTTACAAGAGCGGGTTATACGTGAAGGTAAAAAATGATGTAGAGGATAATGTCATTTTACACAGTTGTATTAAGGGTTTGACAATTGATGAAACACTGAATGAAGATAAGTATGTCGAGGTCTGGAACAGTATCATGTGCAAGGTTTATGATTCCTTTAATGTTTCATTGGAAGACAGGAGGGATATTCAATATTGGGTAACCCTTGCTAAGAATCAAGACTCCTCATGATTTAAGGATAGTACAAATAAATATACATTAAAGTATTTAAAGCTCTCTACTTCTGTCTCTACTCCTTTTCGGTTAGCAAATTTTTCACAAAATGATTTCAGTAGAAACTATTACAACATTTTTTTTACTATCATAATGGGAATAGCAGTCACATTACTTTATTCTGGTTTAATTATTGTATCTAGACACCATAGCAAGGTGATCATCATGTCAAGCATAGAATAATAAATTATCTAATAGTTTATTAAAATTTTTATTTGATCAAGTTATGGCGTTGAGTAAATATGCATATATGCCTTTGTATATTTCTGAATTCAAGGAGATATCTTAAGTTAATATTCATATAGCAAATCACCTTTATGAAATGAAAACTGAAGCTATTAACTTTTCACCTTTTTGTAATATTTTGTCATTTATTTTAATCTTTCTAAACTGTTCAGCTTCTAGATCTAGCTTCT